GGGGCCATGTTCTTTTCTTCCCGGGGCCGCCGCCTCCTGCTCCCCGCCCCCGACCGCCCCGCGGTCCCGCGTCCCTCTCCCGTCCCCTCGGCCCGCCTCCCCTCGCCTCGCCCAGCGGCCGGGGCGCCCGGCTGGGGAAGGGCGAGGAAGCCGCCCCCGCGAACGGCGCGCTCGCTCAGCGGCGCCGGGACCCGCCTTCCGAGTGGAGCAGGAGCGGGGCGGGCGTCGGCGCCCACATTCCATTCGGGGGGAGGGTTCGAGGAAGGAGGGAGTCGCTGGCCCGCCCGCCTGCGAGGAAGGGGCTCCTGGAGCTGTCGTTGCCTGCGACCTCGAGATAACGCTTGGGTCCCGGTTAATCGCCAGCCTCGATTGACCAAAGTACAGAGGGAGAGAGGGAGAGGGAGAACCCTTCTGGGGGATGGTGTGAATTTGCAAAATCCAGCCTGAGCTGAAGTCTCCAGCAGAAGCAAAGACTCTTTCCCTCACCTGGAAACTACCGACAAACTAACGCGGACTTGCTTTGCATTTGGCGGCCCTCGTTTCCCCGAGATTCTGCTGCTTTTTAGATGACTTTTTCAGTCTTTGGTTGGCTCCTCTCTCCAGGCGTTGTGGGGATCCCGAGGATTCGGCTTTGGAACCTCAGATGGCCGGTGCTCCCGCCGAGACCTCATTCCCCCTGCCAGCACTGGCCTCTGAGTACAAGGCCCCGGGTCCAGAACTTCATTTCCACTCCAATGAACACATTTAACTTGTTTGAAATGAGAATGTTTCATTTAAAACCAGCCCCTTGCCCTGCCTCGCTGGGACACCATGACACACTTAACGTGACTCTGCAGTTGTCTCGAACTTAACGCAGCCCGAGTGTATTACCTTTCCTCCTGCCCTTTTAAACCTGCTTCAGTTCCCATATCCTCAGCTGAGATTTGGGGCATCGCTGTGCTCACTTCCCAGGCTGCTTTTCTTCATGACATTTTCGTCTGTCTGCTCTTCACCTTCTACACCTCGTCTTCCCCAGATCTTGTTACTTCCGTCCCACAGATGTCTCTCTGATGTGATCCCTGCCTCTCATTCCCGTTGGCTTTATCTTATGTCTTGAGTTATCCACATTGGAACAATTGATCTCTGTCAATTCTACCTCCATTCCTCATTTCAGTGTCCCCACTGTTTCCAAATTATAGTCTAGAACCAAAACTTCTAATTTGTCAGATTAATGTTTAGACATCTCTATGGACTTCCAGCAGCCTAAAGGATAACATTTCATTTCTGTAGTTTGGTTTGGTAAGTTTTCAGAAGCTGCTCCAGTATTAGTCTGTTAGAGCTGCCATAACAAAGTACCAGACACTGGTTGGCTTAAACAACAGAAATTTATTTTCTCGGAAGGTGTCAGCAGGGTTGGTTTCGGCTGAGGCCTCTCTCCTTGGCTTGCACATAGCCCATCCTCTGCCTGCAACCTCACATGGTCTTCCCTCTGTATGCCTCTGTGTCCTAATTTTCTCTCCTTATAAGGATACCAGTCATATTGGATTAGGGCCCACCGTAACAACCTCATTTTAACTTAATTACCACTTTAAAGACCCTATCTTCAAGTACAGTCACATTCTGAAGTACTGGGGGTTAGGACTTCAACAAATACATTTTTTGGAGGGCACAGTTCAGCCCTTAGCAGCTCCTAATCTACTTTTCTAGCATGGTCCCATGCCACATATCCACCTGTGCATCATTGTTTGTTGGTTCCCTATGAACTCAAAACATGCTGCTCATATTTAAGTAATTATGCTTACCTGTCACCTGATACTGCTGTTTATTTATTTAGGTATCCATGTCCTTCACTTAACTATGAGCTTCTCAAAGGGAGTGCTGGTGGGTCCTGAGCACCGGCCTGGCTCATGTTATTCATCAGTTCATTCTGAAAACATTTCCTGTGCACTGAATTAGGAGCTGGGCATGTAAAGCAGAGTGTGATACAGCCCTTGCCCTCAAGAGGAGACAGACAAAAAAATCCCAGAGATTACCATCCTGGGTAAGGGTTATGATGCCTGTCATCTGAGGAACATCTAAAGGTGAAGACACCATGAACACCACCACCAACACTGCGTAGACAAAGAATTCTTAACAGACACATGGCCAGGACAGCCAGGCCTGAAAAGAAAGTACAGAATGTGAGCCAAAGGATCCTCTGGAGAGTAGGCCCTAGTGCAACGTTTTAAAATGTGATCAGAAGACCTTCAGCATCACTTGGGGCACTTGCTAAAAATATAGATTTCAGGTCCCCACTCCAGTGTAATTGATTCAAAATCTCCAGAATTTCAGGCTTGATATTCAAAATCATCTTGGTGGATTCTGAGGCATCCTAAATTTTAGAAGCACCAGTGTGTCCCAAATGGAAGGGGTTTCATAAAAATTTTTCCTATATTCCTATGCTTTGTATTAAAATAGAGCTCCCTACACCCTCATAACATACGCTATCTGCTTCTATAGAATTGCTTGCTTAACCTAAGTAACTCCATTTTACCGCCTGTCTGACCTGACACAATGGCCTAGTTCCTGGAATTTACCACATCACCTGCCTCACCCCATCCTGAAGGACCCCCCTGGCTGTGACTGCTTTCAGTTCAATAACAGAGAATCCTGAGCAATACCAATGACATCTTGGGAAGGCACTGCTCCATTCCCATTGTCAGACTATCCCCCCTTCTGTGTAAAAAACTGTTAACCTTCTCATAGAAACAAAAACCGTTACATAGAAACAGGAGCCATACACAGTGAACTATTACATGGGAACAAAAACCATACACAATAAAAATTTGTATGCTTGATTGCTCTAATGTCTCATTTTTGGCTTCTGTAACCTAGCTACCTCTCTTGCTTTGTACACCTGGACAAACCTGTGTGCCAACAGGATGTGGTTTTTAAAAACCCCACAAGACTAAGGCCTGGGGCCATTCTCCCTTGGTTGCTCCTTGAGAGATGGTCGCTGGCCAGCTGGAGTGAATAAACTGTCCTTTTCTGCACGAGTGGTGTGTAAGTGCATTCTTGCAGGAGGGTGCCTCACAACAGTGTCAGCAATGTTACCATCAGCTGGAGTCCCAGACCTAGAAGAAACTTCAGTGGTCCTTGAGTCAGACTTATTCTGTGGCTTGTGCCTGCACTGCATTAATTCATTGCAAGGACCCTAGAAGAAGACTGTCTGGGTTCAGATCTTGTTCTGCCACTTCCTAGCTGTGTGACCTTGAGCAAGTCACTTTACCTCTGTGTGCCTGTAAAATGGGAATAGTGATAATGTCCACCTCATAGGGTTGTTGTGAGGATTAGGTGAATTAATACATGTAAGCATTTTAGCCTGTTTAGGCTGCTATAATAAAATACCACAAACTGGGTAGCTTATAGACAGTATACATTTATTTCTCACAGTTGGAAGCTGGGAAGTTCAAGATCATGGTGCCAGCAGATGTGGAGTCTGGTGTCCACTTTCTGGTTCAAAGACAGTGCCTTCTAGCTGTGTCCTCATGTGGTAGAAGGGGCAAAAGAGAGCCTTTGGGCCTCTTTTATAAGGACACTAATTACATTTGTGAGGGCTCCATCCCCATGACTTAATCACTTCCCAAAGGCCCCACCTCCTAATACCATCAGCTTGAGGATTAGTATTTCAGTGTATGAATTTGGGGGGGATACAAACATTCAGAACATGGCAGTAAGGCATGTGAACATGGTAAATGCTAAATAGTGTTAGAGCTGTTATTAGCTCATATATTACTTACAATAATTATTTTCTATTATAATTGTTTATTTGGATGTCATTGCTTCAACAAGACTATGAGCTTCCTGAGGACAGGGACTCCATGCCCAGCGCAGAGGATTCCAATGATACTTACTGAGCACCTACTATGTGCCAGGCACAACACTAGGAGAGAGAGCCATCAGTGAAACAGGCAAAAAACCCAGCCTTCCACGGAGGAGAACTTATGTTCTACAGGGATTTCAGTTTATATTCTACAGGGATTTGTTGAGTGAATGAATGAATCTAGTTAGCTGCCATCATTGTAAGCCACAGAGCTAGATTTGAGTAAAACTGGGGTCTCCTATCTTTTCATGTAGAGCTCTTTTTAAATTTCACATATCACTTCTCCTCTGGGCCCCAAGGACCCTTGGAATACTTTATGCCCTTGTGAAGCTGTTATAAAGTCACTGCTCAAAGTGGTATTTTAAATTTTGAGATATTTGTTCCTTGAAGATGTTTTCATTTCCTACAGTTCAAAGTTTAGAAGATAGCAGATTACTGCTTAGTTTTCTCATTTCTTCTTTACTTTTTCTCTTTTTTGCTAGCAAGTCTGAAGTCCAGAGATATAAGGAGGAGAATACCGATAGAAAAACAATATTATCAAGGAACAGTAGAATAAACAAATTAATTCAATTAATATCTACTTGTTGGGTTCAAATTCTGTGCTTTTACTAGGCATAGTAAAGAAATTATTATTTTAGTTAGAATGAACAAAACAAGACAAAGTACTATTTGGACAGATCCTTCAGGGAGTTATATGCTTATTGGAGAGACACACACCCTGAATCTGAATAACAACAGAAGGGGGAATATTATTTTGTATCAAATCAAGAGTGAAGGCTTTCAATACAAGAGGGGGTTCAGAAGAGAGATTACCCAGGCAGGTGTGGGTAGGGAAGGCAGGTAGGAACAGATCACAGAAGGCCTGAGATACATGTCAAGGAGTACAGACTTTATTTTGTAGGTAATAATAATATTAATAGGTATTTATTTTACAGTGTCAATTATTTAACATAAAATCTGAAACATTCTTCCTGAGGCTATACCCTCTCTCTTAAAAATTCAGATTGAGGGTCGGCCCGGTGGCGCACTGCTACAGTGCGTTGCTTGGGAGCACGGTGGCGCTCCCGCTGAGGGTTCGGATCCCACATACAGACCGGTTCCCACTCACTGGCTGAGCGAGGGGCGGGTGCAGCACCGAGGGTTGCGATCCCGTTGCCGGTCCCGGTCCGGTACGGGCGCGACACTGAGGGTTGTGGTACGTTGCCGGACACAAAAAAAGACAAAAAGGAAAAATAAATAAATAAATAAATAAAAAATTCAGATTGATTGAAAAAGTGTCTACACATATGTAACTCTGAGTCAGACGTGTGCTTACCCAAAGTTTTATTTACAGATCACCACAAAAAATGTAATTAAAAAAATTCACAGCAATTTTTGCGTAATGTAACTTGAATAGTATTTGGTCCATTGCATCCTAAATCTTACATTCCAGAAGTTTCACTAATATTTTCAGTCTTAGTCTTCATAAACTCAACACCAGCCATCCAATATGTTTCCTGCTCAAATATCTATTCATTCTTTCTGGCTTACTAATGCTCCCTTTCATGCTTTTCCTTTAAAATATTTTCCCTCTTTAGAGTGCCTCGCTTTTTCTCAAGCAGGCCCTGAGGCTGTAAATTTCTCTCCCTACCCACAGAATTCCTTTCTTTAACACCCATCTTGAAACCCTACTTCTCTTTAAATAAGTGAGATGCACAAAGTTATATTTTTCTTCATTTGATTGCCACAATTCTATTGTCATATTACAAATTTCAGTAATCTATAGGGTCTGAAATACTGAATGGGATAGATACCATAGCCTGAATGCTGTTTGGTTTTATAGCATCTGTATGATAGGTTCTTCTGGGGACACCCTGTACAAACCCCACCTCTTAGTCTAAGTGACACGGTGGACACTCAAAGAAGCCATTTTAAAAGGCAACCTTAAAAACAGTTCAGTCTAATTTAATACCTAGTAGTCTCCACACCTCTAGTTTTTGTATTATTAGAATTGCCTGTTTGTTTCCTGTTTTGCTTTTTTTTCCCCCCCAGCGTGAACTGATGAAACAGACTCGAGCTGAAGTACGCACTGGTGTCACGGTCTCCATTTGC